AACACGAGTCTCATTAAGTGTCCAGTTTAAGGGTATTACACAGAAACATACCAAGGGAACATGAATCAAATATGCACTTTTATTCATTTACAATAAACTCATAAAGTACATCATTCTGATTGAAGCTAAGGGCATACAAAACTGTCTAACAAACAGGACTCTTAGTCCATGTTGGACACAAAAAAAGCCTATGATGTTAACATGGGACTCTTAGAAACTGAAAACCTGTTTTTTTCAATTTCTATCTTGCTCCCTCTGGCAACATGGAACTCTTAATCCACGTCCCATGTTGACAACATGGGACTAAAAATAGGTTTTCAATCATCTCTCGATCTCCCACTCTCTCAGCTTTGGTATGTAGCCAAATCAAAACCTCAGTTTCTCTTCCATTCTCTCTCTCTCAATCCCTCTCATTCTTCTTCCTCACTCTCCCTCTTGGTTAATATCTCCTTCTCCGTCAATCTCTATCGTTCTCTCTCAGTCTTTCTCCCGCTACCTCACTCATTCTTTTTTTATTTTTCTTACAAACTTTTATAATATTAATCAAACAGTATAAAAGAACTAAAGGGACCAACCACTTGTACAATCAAGTTATAAATTTCTATCAAGTTGGTGTAAATTTCATAGCCAAGAGTTTCTTGTGAACTTTTATCAAATTGGTGTAATAATTTTTGAACTATACCAAGTTGGTCTCATGTTCTTTTATATGGTCTAATTAATACCATATAAGTGTGTAAGAAATAAATAAAAAAAAAAAAACAAGAGGAGTGTGAGAGAAACTGAGGGAGAACAATAGATTAAGAGAGATTGAGAGAGAATGAGATAAATTGATAAAGAGAACGTAAATATAGAAATTGAAAACTATTTTTATTTATTTTCAAATCACATAGTCGTTGAGTAGAAAGAGACGACTGTTTGTGTGTGTGTGAGAGAGAGAGAGAGGGAAGAAGGGAGTGGGAGAGAAACTAAAAACCATTTTCTTATTTTCCAATCACCCAGCATTAAAGGGCAATTTCAGTATAAGCTTTTTGTTGTGTCCAACATGGATTAAGTGTCCCATGTTGGCAATAACCACACAAACCTCCGATGTCATGGCAGGGTTTTTTATAATCTGAAATGTAGAGCCGGTTGTCAAAGTTTTATTGATTTCTAGACTAACCTGTAGCCTAATTTTAAATGTACAGTCGATTTTGACTATAATTTTCCCTAATTTAAAATTAATCCGAAAGCAATGCTATTTTCTTATCTAGATGGTGGGTCAATGATCCAACTATTCTAAGAAACCCATGATGTCATAATTGACTAATAAATATTTAAAAAAAGATAGAACACCAAAAATAAAAATGTCGAGAATTTTGTCAAAAACATTTGAGAACATTTCTAATGTTATGTATTCATCATATTAAACAAAAATAATTGTTAAAATAAAAATTTTTATTTATGATATAAATGGAACACAATTTAATAATAATAATAATAATTGTTATTTGGTACAAGCATTTAAGTTTATTTTTAATCATATTGTTACTTTTGTTAATTTTCAATTTCTATCTTAACTATGATATATCTAAAATTCAAGTAATTAATATGAAGAAAAAAATTCTCACGTGCAACGCATGTGCTTAATTACTAGTCTAATACATTGGAGGAGACATGTTATAAATTGTGTCCGATGGTTGATTATAGGCAAGACACGTCTTTGATGCCAGATTTGATAAACAACCACTATCATCAATGAAAACAATGATAGTTAATGTGTTAAAGTAATGCCTAAAGTCCATATGCCATTGCATACACGATATACTTACAGACAAATACCACTTGTATTAAGGAGTTTACAGTCAATAACATAGAGGACAAAAATTAATACCTCAAATACTTGCAATCAGGACTGACAGTCCCAATAAAGTGTTGACAGATAAACTCGTACAATCTCCAGGCATCATTCCCTAGCATATCTTCAGTTGCTGACTGCAGTGGAGTTATGGGAGGATGGTCACCTGCATCTGTTCCCAATCGTGGCCTATGAAAACCAAGTTCTAGTAGCCAATGTACATAATTGCCCCATGTTGGATTCTTTGCCTGTTCCCCAAGTGTCCCCTTAAAGTCAAATGATGGAGGATAGGCCGTGGACTCTGTCCTTGGATAGCTAGAGAATATCATTCCAAAATGAGTATCATTATTAGAAAAAGAAACCAGAAGAGAAGCTGTAGGAAAGAAAGGAACCATGTGGAAGTTCAATCACGTGCTGAAATATATATAGGTTAGTCTGTATTCATCTCACAATAGCTGTTTTGATAGTTATTGGGACTATTTAGTAGCATAAGAGAGAGAAACAGTGTCAAGAGTATTATTGTAATTATAATAAAAGTAATGTTTTGGATAAAAGAAAGTGGGATAGGCATATGTAACATCTCTCCAATTTTCCCAACCTCTTTCTTCTCTCTCCATTGGTTCTTTCTTATTCACTGTTTCTCTCACAATAATTTATCTAATAAGACCACTATAGTAAATGCCATTAATAAGATTATCATGGCATGGGTAGAAAGAGAATGTACAAAGCAACTAACATTCTATGCCCAGAATGTGGAAAGTAATCTATGGCATATATACAAAAAGAGCAACTTCAGAGAACCCTCTGCCCCAATGCAGTCATAACACAACAAAATAATAATAATAGAACAAAATAAAATAAACATTTGAAAAGAGAACAAAAATCTTGAGCAACTGATCCAGAAAAAACAACTAAAAAGATAAAGTAGCATTAATCTTCATTCTCACTCCAAGTTCAGCCAAAGAGATTTTGTGATACCAATAGCTGTCTGTATTAACTACAGAGCTACGTGCATGTGATATATATATATATAGAGAGAGAGAGAGAGAGAGAGAGAGAGAGAGAGAGAAAGAGAGAACCTGATGAAACCTTGAGTATACAAGCGCTCAGCTATTTGCATTGCAATTTGAGGTCCAAGACCAAATGCACTTGAAGCAACCTAGACAAATGAAAATGATAATAAAAGTCATCTAATCTATAAGACTCTGAAGCAGCCTGGACAACAGCAATTTATTTACCCCCTCAACAGACAAATTTTCATTATGAAATTATTCTTGACGGAACTAGTAAGTAGGAGGTCCGATGATGACTTTGTCCTTCTTTATCTCATAGGTAAAGCAACAAAATTCACAAAAAAAAATAATAAAAGAATCAATTAGAAGAAAAGTATAATAAGAGGAAAAAGAGGACTAAAAAGCCTCGTCATACTACTTGAAAGAAAACTGATTCCAAAACCACTATTTGTGTTACTATCCACAACACCACGTGTTATATCCATGGTTAAACTTTGGGCCCTTAAATCATTTATCACTACTTCAACCCACATCCTTTTCACTCTGCCACTAGTTCTTTTATCTCCATCAATTCATAATAGATGGCTTCTTCTTACAGGCGTCCTAGATGGTCTTCTCTGGACATGCCAAAAACATACACTACTTTCCCTCATTTTATCACCTATAGGAGCTAATTCTAGGTTCCATCCAATAAGTACATTTCAGATCCTACTCCTAGTTTTCCCACTCATCAATCTCAACATTCACATTTCTGCCAAACTCTTTTTGGACATGTTGTCACTCGACTGTGCAACACTCTGCTCCATACAAAACTGCTGCCCTTATAATTGTTTTATAAAATTTTCCTTTTTGCCCAAGTAGCATCTCCTATTACATGAGAATCTGCATGCACCCATCCATGAGAAGTTACATGCAAACCTCCATGAGAATCAATCTCAACTAAATTTTGGATTATCAAACCATGGTAATGGAAGTGATGACATTGAAATCTCTTAGTCTCCAATTCTAAGTTTATCTTCATCATCACTCCTATTATATTAAATTTACATTGCATACATTTTGTTTTAGTCCTTATTTTAAAACCTTTGTTTCTAAAGTATTTATCCATAACTCTTGTTTTAAAACCACATGATTTCTTAGATTCATCTGCTGTGTTGACCACTGGAACTTCTTCATTTCATTTCTATAACACCAAATCACTGAGTTTGGATTTCTTAAACAACCTACCACCACCTTGGAGTCCCCTTCAATCACCAGGTTCTCCAAATTCATGTCTTTTGCAATCTTAACACCTTGTAAAACTGCAAACAGTTCATCCTTTAAAGAGTCTCCAACCCCCACTGGTCCTGAGTAAAGTGCCAGTACAAAGTATAAACCCTTATCTCTTATCACTCCTCCAATTCCCAAAGGACCTGGTTTGCCTTGACTGCTCCCATCAAAGTTTAATTTCAGAAAACCTTTTGTAAGTATGGCGGTGAGGCTAGAAAGGGTGGTCTCCTTGAAGAACGAAGAACGGTTAGGGTCAAAGGCCATGAGGGAAATAATGAGCAGGTTTCTGCTTCTGGGAAATCTCGGTGGAGTTGGGTAATAAGGGTGATCGAAGAGAAAGTGCAGATCGTGCTTTTCAACCTCCTTTTATAAGGGAGATCCCAAGACTTTAAGGAGAAGGATTCCAAAAAAAGGTTTGATTYCCATTAGGAAAGGGAATCCTCATCGGTTCATCCTTATGTCAGTTATCAAAGGAGCACCACTGGGTTTCGCCATGTGTTTGACGAGATCCTCTAAGGACAAAGTTCCCTTTTCCTTGAAGATTCTCACCTAGCACATGCAAGCTACATTTCGTCCATAGTTTTCAAGGCGCTAAGGTGAGGCTAGGCGACCATGGGTGCCCAGGAGCCTAGCCCTCACATAGGCGATGGAATTTAAAAATAAGAAGCCGATGGATTTATACCCCTTCTGAACTAGTTATTTTGGTTTTATGTATTTTGCACTTACTTTTGTGCTTGTGCTTCTTGAAGTGTTGCTTGATGAGAACAATTACTAAAATAAAAGAAGAAAGTGAATAAGAAACACAACGGGCAGAGCCCTTGTTCTAGACCCAGAAAAGCTGGTGAAAAAATATTAAAATTAAAGAAAAAATATGAAGAAGAAAAGAAGGGGCTCTGCCCCTGTTTCAGACACCAATGATGAGAACAAAAAAAGGGCTGAAAATGCAAGAAGTTAAGAACAAAAGAAGAGGGTGGAGCCCTTGTTCTAGACTTAGAAAAGCTGGTGAAAAGAAGGGGCTTTGCCCCTATTTCAGACACCAATAATGAGGGAAAAAGAGCTGAAAACACGCACGAAATTTAAGAACAAAAGAAGGGGGCGGAGCCCCTGTTTTAGTCCAATAATATGATTCAAACAAGGAAAGAATAATGGTTTTAGTCCAACGAAAAGGAAGAGGAGAACAATGGGGCGAGATGTAAATCAGTCTTCAAAAATTAGGTGGAAATTTGAAAATTAGTGTGAAAAGAAGAAGAAAAGTAAGAGCAGCAGTACAAGAGAAGAAGATGGCAAAAAGAGGAGGAAGAAGAAGAAAGGTTCGAATAATCTTCCCTTTCTTCTCTAATCCTTTTTATTAAGAATTAATGTTAAAGTAATTACAAGTATGCCCTTAAGTGGGCGGCCAGCTAGGCAGTAACATAAAGAGATCAACCAAAAAAAAATAACAAGCYCATTAAGAGAGGCCCATTAGCTAACAAGAAAAGGAAAAGATATTACAAGAGAAGATACTAGGACCCATTTGGCCCAGTCTCTTTACACTCCCCCTCAAGCGGAGCATAGATGTCAATCATGCCCAGCTTGCTTATATA